TTCATGTTTAAATCCTGTGCTGTATCCATTTGATGCTATATTTGGCTGAGACTCCAGTAAACACATTTTTTAAAATGGCACACGGTTAATTGAGAATCATTTCAATGTGTTAACCTTATAAAATAAACTGGCATCCTTCCATGTACTTTAATTCAAAGAGGCAGTTTTGAGATTGCTTGCTTTGTGAAATTCTAAATTTTTCAGTTTAAAAACCTTGAATGTTAATAACTTTCTAGCAATGGAAATATCTCCCTTTAGTCTTTCTTTTCCTTTCTTTTTGGTGTTGGGTTTAGGTTTTTTTGTTATAAAGAATCTCTCCCATTTTTAATCCTCTGCTGTAGCAGGATTTCCCGTATATATGCATCTTCAGTCATGAGTGTATGCATTGAGTTAATGCCAGTTTGTAGCTACATAGCTGGTCACCTATGGTATACATTAAGGTAGCCAGGCAGCGCAGAGTCATTGACTTCTTTTCATTGTTACGTGGCTGAGAACTTGCCACTGACCTTCCGAAAGTCTGTTAAAGGTATCAGTCTTCCATCTGCTCTCTGTGAAATAGATTTATCAGGAGTATGCAGTAATGACAGCTGAAGAGACCCTATCATATACCTTTCATTTTATTCACCTATTTTATTCTGATTTTATTCTTCTTAAGCGGGACATAGAGGCATCCAAGGCTAGATCATCTTTTACTGGTAGCATGCAAAGTAGGATTTATTTTCAACAATATTTCATCTTGCCAGTCTTTCCAACCGTTTCAGGCATCCTCCCTCCTCCCATATTTATATTCAGCTTTCCTATGAGAAAGCAGCTGCTTGAAAACGCTTGCGAATAACACACAAGCTAACCTCCAAGTTCAAAACCTCCAGCCATGTAAAAAGCATGCAGAGTACGGACTTCAGCCGGAGCATCCATCACGTTGTCCAGGCATCTGTCAGCTCCCATATATGAAGGCTTTCATTTGCCTTGCGCAACTTCCATCGCCAAACTAAAATACACATGCACAGATTTGTATACAGAGAACGTGAACAGAGCTCAGGGAGGAGTATTGCTGGATGCTGAAGTGAAATGTGCTTTGTGTGAATAAGCTGTGAGAAACAAGGCAGACGTTTCTGGATGACAGAAGTTACAAACAGTCGAGATTAGAGCATGAGAGAGACAATTTGGTGGGTCCCAGTGCCTTGCTCATGTGTCTGATGGCTCTGGGAGTGCCAAGCGGCTGCCTGGTAGGGAATAGCGTAGCGTATAAGAAAGCATGTTTGGATAGAAAAAGGCTGTGCTCCTTTTAGGGAAGTATTTGCAAACCCTTCATAAAACTTGACGCATCATTGTTGAACAGTGCTTCTACACCGGCAATACCAGAATTGTTTTGGACAGACAAAAATCCATGCTGTTTACAGTCCTGTCTTCTCCTCAACATGGTGGCTTTGTTTGGGACTCGAGGGCCATGAAATGACCCCAAACAGAGAAGAGGAGCATAAAGGCTGAGCAGAGAGAGGGCAGCAAAGAATGATGTTAGGTTAAGGCCTGTGGGGAAAAAAAATCAAAGGGGGGGGGGGGGGAAATAAAAGAAACGGCGCAATTCCTTTTCTTGAGAATAAGGGCAGTTAGCTGAGCATGGCACTGACAAGATGAAGCAGCTGCCTTAGAGCCAGTGTGTTCAAACATGCTGCCGTTATCCTGTTACATGAATCAAAACCAGCACACACCAGCTTTCATCTGGATTTCATTATTGTGATTTATATCGTAGAGACTCTTGTCTCGCAGGAAGCAGCAGTATTCGGAGTTGGGGGGGTGGAGATTCTTATCAACAGGACAAAATTGACAAATCTCTGTATTTAAAAATAGCCATACCTCCTTACCATTTTGAGTTTTAAGCCGCCTGCTTATTCTCAAGCTTCTTGAGTGCTTTGCTTTAAATAAAATTTTTAAAAAGAGCTTTTATCCTTCTAAAGAAAATTGAGCTGAATTCTGGCAAATCTCCCACGGGTTGGAGGAGTCCCAGATAAAACAGACGGTGCCTGCAGAGCGGCCATGGGGAAAGGTGCACCTCAGGGGGCTGCCACTGCCGTGTGGCAGCGCCCAGGACTCGCCCCCCCTCTGCGCAGTTGCCCCCAGAGCTGGTGTTGTGCCAGCACAGACTTCTTAGAGGTGAAAGCAACTTAAATTTGCTGTCCGGCATAATTTCTGTGCAGTGTTTCGGCTGAGTCAGGAGGATGGCGGGGCTTTCCCTGCACTGCCGTGCCCTTTCTGCTGCAGAGTGGTTTCTGTCGTGCAGGCGAGGATCGTGCGTGATTGCATCCTCGTCTGCCCAAGGGAAGACCTGGAGAGAGCCAAAGGCGAGTCTGCCAGAAGAACCCCATGATCACTTTGAGGGAGATAATTAAGATAAAACTAAGGAGCTCTGTGGTAATGGAGAGCAAACAACAGGCAGTTAGGTTTGCAGTGAAGCGGGGAATAAGGTGTTGTGTAGCTTTGCACAGTAACACTGAGCTCACTCTCTCTAGGATTGCCGAAGGCAGCAACAAAAAAATGCTGATAGTAACTAAAATCATCTTTGGATTTATTAGCAGGTAACCTTTATGTGCTCAGCAGCATGGACCGATGCCTTTGTACTTGAGTAGCAGATGGCACTGGTCTAAATTATATTATGTGGCTTTTCAATAGTCCTCTTACAGCAGTACAAAGAGAAACCCTCTTAACAACACGTAGACTCCCAGCGTATCTGCGTATCAGAAGCATCCAACTTGCCGATGATCCTCTGGCAATGAAACCAAAGAGTAGGCAGGTAGGCAGAGATGGAAAGAAAGGAGAGGAGAAATTGGTGCAATTTTCATTCTTCTGCTTCAGAGGGCTGAGCCCTGCCAGGTGAGGTGAAGCACATGAGAAGCTGTCTCTGACAAAGAGCCACGGCCATACAGGTGCATGCATACGTCCTTCCAATCTCAGCAAGATTTAAACCACGCAGACCCACACATTCAGTTGAAGCCTTTCCCTCCAACCCTGAGTAGGGCGGGGTTTCTTCTCCCCATTTTCCCTCTCTTCCTTTTATTCAGAGGTGGTAGCATGTTGCCTGCCTCAGTGTTGAGACAGCGTATGAAATTTTAACCTCAGTGGTACTGCAGTGTCCGCCTGGACCTGCACTTGAGCTTACCCATACTCATGCAGGGCAGCAGGGGTGGCTGAAGAGGGCTGATGTGGCTTTCTCCTTTTTGATGATATCTTAAAACTGGCGGCTTTCCTTAACAGGACTGAATTTCCTTAATAAATTATCCCCTTTATTGAGCAAAATTTGGACTAGGTTAACATGTAACTGTGTTGGAGGGGGCTCACAAACATTTATACTTCGGAGAACAGGAGGCAACTGTTGTGCATGACATGCCCAGCAGAATTACCTGCCAGGATGTAGTGAGGAGCAATTTATCTGGACAGATGATGCTTCTCACACTACAAACCACATAGCAGAATGGCCCACATTTTAAAACGTGTGTATGACTGTGATAACACTCCATGGCAAGTTTTTTTACTTCTCTGTTACTGTATTTTTACCTCAAATACTGCTGTGCAGAATTCAGGGGAAACACATGCTTTCTTTTAAATTCCTATAATTATACCATATCTCCTAAATACAGTGCAGAAAAAGTTAGGTGTGTTTTATTCCCCTTCGTGCTCATTTTGGATCCAGACAACAACGTGATCAGATAACAAGAGTTGTCCAATTGCTCTCTAGAGCCATTACACTTACTCCTCCTCAAGCCCTTCCATCCTATTTTAATTACAGAAAAAATCTTGCAGGCATGTGCAGCCAGTGTTTTTTGGGCTGATTAGGGTCTCATGAGGATATAGTACAGCAAGGCTTCATCTTCTATAAAGGTATAACATGCGACAAGTGCTGTGCATGCCTCTTTCCACCTCTTGTGGTTTAGTGTTAACAGCCCTTCACCATAATACAGGTTAATCATAAACAGCAATTAGAAGGGAAGAATAATTTTACTGGAAGGAGAATGCCCTGCACTGCAGATTGCTGCTCTCCCGCTGCCCACACTTGGAGCTGGCTGGGAGCTGGGTGCCTGGAGACCAGGTTGTCCCCTGGCTGCCCAAGCTGTGGCTCTTCTCTGCCTCTGTACGAGGGACAGAACAGTCAAAGCCAGGAAGAGAATTGGCACATTCCCAAAATGAAGGCTGTTTTGTTGTTCAGCAG